TTTCCCCGTGTGTGCTGCATGAATATAAAGTACTCTCAAAGGTATTTGCTCCAAGTTGGACCTTACTTGGTTTTTCACTGTTTTATTTTTCAGACTTTTTTTTTTAATCACTTTATTGGGACCTCTACACTGTTGTATGCTTTAGGAGTCCTGACAGGCCGCTCCGGTAAGCTTTGGCGGATCACACCCACCAGTGGCTCTGAGGGAGAGGGATAGGCTTTCAGCTCCCATAAAGGATTCCAGAGGAGCTCTGGAAGTGTAGTGGGTTATGTTTTGGACTATTACCTTCAAGGTCAGTAGTTGGGCTGATAGCCACCAGGCCAGCAGTTTGAAACCACTAACCGCTCTTGGAAGAAAGATGAGGCTTTGTCCTCCTGTAGAGATATACAGCATGGGTACCCCACGGGGTCAAGTCTACTCGCCCCTAACGGGTCATGATGAGGTGGAAGGAATTGATTCTCTGGCAGCGAGGTTTAGAATCAATTCAGTGGCTCTGGCTTTGTTTTTATTGTCTTCTTTCAGAAGACACAAACAGCATAAGACAGAGTAAAGAACTATTGATGTGGTTGGTAATAACCGTTTCTCCTACCTTAATGGCACTGGAGACTACACTTGAAACAAGGCCCTTTTGGCCTTTAGAGGGTAGAGTCTGCGTTGATAAAAGGTATCATTTTAAAAATGTCTTTTAGTGAGAGACAGTGGTGGTAACAATGTGCTCAAACATCACAACCATTGTGAGGACGGGGCAGTGTCTCTGCAGTGTCTCTTCGCTATGAGTCACAGCCAAGTAGATGGCTCCTAACAATGAGTGGCAGGAAATAACCAGGGAACCAGCGGAAATTCACACTGCCACAGGGTGGTGCTGTGAAAGGAATCTACAGCCCTTGGCATAGTACGGAAGATGTATTAGATTCCTCAAGTGGGAAATGCCTCCGTCCTTGGTCTCCCAGGAAAAAGAATTCAAGCTGAAGCCTGGTTTGTGATTCAAGTGGGCTTTTATAAAGGACGGAAGCAACACCATGAGGGCACTTCACACCAGACAGAGGCCAGAGGTACAGCTGGAAAAGAGAGGGGGCTGAGCTTGAAGTTTCAGGCGTTTGGGGCTTTCAGCTGGGAGGCATGTTGATAGTACTGGTTGACCCCATTGGCTGAATTAAGCCCATCTGGCCTAGATTGGGCTTCCTGGCTCACAGATCTGAATGTGTGCATGCCCTCTAGCCTTGATGGCTTCCAATTTCCTGTAAAGGGGGAAGGGAGACCTTAGGTTGTAGAAAGACAATCACTAGTTTTTGCCTCTAGCTACTTAACAGATGTAGTAGAATTGAGAAGTTGAAGAAGGCTATGAAGCTAAAGGTATGAGACCTACGATCCAGCAAAGGCTAAGGATTCAGCAGACTTGGGAGTTGCAAGAAAGGACAAACTGAATGGCTAATTTGGTGCAACGTGTATATGATGTATTGAGAATATTTTCTTAGCATCAGCTACATATATCTGATATCAGATATATGTATCTGATCATCTTTATTATCCCCCAAACCAAGAAACCAAGCTCACTGCCATGATTGCTACTGACAGCGAGCCTACAAGGTTTCTGAGACTCCATCGCCCGGAAGTAGGAAGCTTCTTCTTACTCGGAACCCCTCAGTATCAGAGGCACTCACAGGGGCCACTCACCGGGGAGCCTGCCGGGGTTGCACCGTGGTTTATAAACTTGGTTCGAACATCGCATCTCGATTTGAGCTTTTCTGTTGCATCTGGTAGTATACTTGGCGGGAGTGAGGATCATTGCATCCTAGTAATTTTCCAGACCCTTAATCTTTACGCTGCTCAGGGACCTTTCTCGGATCCGCGTTTAGCTCGGAGGGGCTTAAGCGAGGAGGCTGACCACCAGCGGCTACTTTCAATGGGGGTTCGCTTCCACTTCACACCAAGGAACCTATGCAAATGCCTCCCTTTGGTGGTTCCTCCGTTGACCTAACTTCCTGTGCCAGAAGCTTTTGTCTGCCCCAATTTGCTTCTTTCTTTCACAAATTCCTCTCACCTCTGGCCGCAGGCTAAGCCGACGGGCCCGGGGTGGGGGGTGTGGGGAACCATGTTTGCTGAAGCCCTCCCCCTTTCCCCGGTCCGTCTGGCGGCCCTCAGACCTGTAGACCTCAGGCTCTTTTGGAATTAATCTGTCCTTTACCCCAAGAACGAGGTGCATTAAGTTTACTTTTGGCCATTTCACCTACACTGCGATATTCCGAAGACCCCGATCCGTTCCCCACCCCCGTTGAGAAACCCACGGGGGCAGTTCTACTTACTCTAATAGGGTCGCCATCTACTCGATGGCAGAGTTTTATATTGGTTTTTTCCCTTGGCCGTTCCGCCTTGGTTGCAGTGGTTAAAAGCACTGGGCTGCTAACGTGCAGGTTAGCGATTCCCACCGTAAGCCGATCCCAGGGAGAGAGCTGAGGAAGCCGTGTTTCCAACATAAAACCCTCCCAGGGGGATTCTGTCTGGCACGCCTCAGCTCCAGAGCAGTACTTTGGGGGTCTTTTCATCTGACCCTACCCACTAGGAGCACTGCTGGTGCAGTGGCAAAGTGTTCATCTGCCATCAGCATGGTCCACAGTTCAAAACCACCAGCGGGAGACTGGGCTTTCTACTATTGGAAACTGAGCCAACATTGACTGGATGGGAGTGAGTTATTATCCACTGTCCTTAGGAGACACCCCCCCACGCCCCAGTAGGGCTGCCGAAGTTGGATTTGACTATGGCAGTAGGGAGTGTATCTTGACTTTGCCCCAATATTTAGCAATCTTTTTACATATGTTATGCATTTTACCTGCACTTAATGAGCGATGAAAAGCTTCATTTAAAAAAGTTATCTCTGGAGGGGAACATTCTCTGCCTTCACATTCCTGTTGACCCCACCTGGAGCCCTGGAGAACCATCCCCCATTGGCTCCCAGACCGTGAGCACCTGCATTTGGCATCAGTGCATGTGGCTGCATGAATCTGAACAGGGACTTCTTATGGACTAGGATCAAATGTATGGACTTGATATGGGCTGGGCTGGAATCTTTGCTTCCCGTGTAATTACTCCTGATATAAAGCTCTCTCTCTCTCTCTCTC